ATCGATCCTCTCCTCATGACTAGCCTTTCTTATTAGCTTATGTATGTATGCCCTCGATAAACGTAAACCTAGGCTTCGGCCTCACACATGTTTGTTTGTTTGTTTGTAATTTCGTGAAGGTTACTATTAGGTATACGTATCAAAGTCCCGTTAATTCGGCAAATAGAAAAGGATTTCTTTTGTATATATATGGCCACATTTTCTTTTCCTTGCCGATTGATACTACTGCTGATTTTCTTACTTTCATACATAAAACATACTCAAATTTCTAGAATCGCTCAAGGTATATATGTGACTCATCACCCATCTTAATTAATTTTGTTACCTCAAAATAATAATAATAATACCTTCATATATATAAATTAGAACCCTAATCTACTAAGTAGTTTGAAAAATGATATCCGCGTCTATTAAATTATATTAAATAAGCCCACGTCTCGAATAAACATGAAATCTTGGAGATCTAGTTTAGAAATATGAAGATTTGAGGATCCAACTTAGAAACACGACAGAGTGAAAATTGTGGTATGTATAGAACTAATGCAAGTAGAAATAAAGTTTGTGGTAGGTGCGCATTGTTGCTATAGTAACGTTTAGTGGGTCTGCGGTTGGTGATTACTATAGCAGGTAGGTGTTTACTGTTGACACAGTAACTTTCCATCAATCTCCCACTTGAAGATTTGATTGAGTATCAATCATACCTTCACACCATTCTTTCTATCTTACCATCTTCATACTGCTCACGTCTCCGACAGACCACAAGAGGATCGACACCAAATAAATTCATCAATATTAACTGTTTATGTTAAAAAAATCTGCTAGGTTGTCTTGGTATGAATTTTCTGCATATCCACTGTTCTTTCTTTCACTTTCTCACGAACGAAGTGATACTGAACTCGAATGTGTTTTGTCTTTGAATGAAAGGCTGAATTTATTGCTAAATGTAAAGCACTATGATTGTTACAAAATAGAGAAATCTTTTTTTTGTTCATGCCCGAGTTCCTCCAGCACCATCTTCAACCATATCACCTCTTTACTAGCTTGTGTAGCTACTACATACACTGCTTCTGTTGTTGAAGTAGCCACAACTGACTATAGTTTTAAAATCCATCTTACAGCTCCGCCAGCAAGTACAAACACATAGCCTGTGGTGGATTTGCTATTATCACGATCACCTACATAATCAGAATCAACATATACATTAACAATAAAATCTGATCCCCCATAATATAATACAACATTTGAGGTTCCCTTAATGTATCTTAGGATCATTTTTACATCATTCCAATGCTCTTTATCAGGATTCGCCATGTATTGACTAACCACTCCCACTGCTTGTGCAATATCTGATCTTGTACAAATCATAACGAACATTAGACTTCCTACTGCTGATGCATACGGTACTTGAGACATCTTCATCCTCTCTTCTTCACTGCTAGAATTCATACTGGATGATAACTTGAAATTAACAAGAAGTAGAGTATAAATTGACTTACAATCTTGCATGTTAAAGCGCCGCAATATTTTCTTCAAATAATTCTTCTGAGAAAGCCAAATCTTCATATTAATTTTGTCTCGGTAAATTTGCATCTCTAGAATCTTGTTTGCAGATCCTAAATCATTCATTTCAAATTCCCTAACCAACTGTGCTTTTAATTCTTTGATACGATCTTTGTTGGAGCCTACAACCAACATGTCGTTAACATATAACAATAAAATAACAAAGTTATTTTTACCAAACCTCTTGAAATATGCACAATGGTCTGAATTAAGTCAGTTGTATCCAATGCTAATAATGAATGAATCAAATCTCTTGTACCAACACCTTGACGCCTGTTTTAGACCGTACAGTGATTTGTTCAATCTGCAAACCAAGTTTTCTTTTTCTTTTTCTTCAAAACCTTCTGGTTGAAGTATGTAAATTTCTTCTTCAAGATCTCCATAAAGAAATATTGTTTTCACATCTAGTTGTTGTAGATTGTAAGTTAAATATAGCGCTCATAGTCAGAACTATTCAGACTGTTGTAAGTCAAACTACAGGAAAAAATATTTCATTAAAGTTAATACCGAAGTGACCTCCCATCACTTACCGATCGACACGTATCAGGCAAAGGATGACTCAGCCTCCAGCCCATCCCTCGCCATCGTCATAAACCGCATTCTCACTAAATACATGTTCTGCCCTTGGCATCCTCTATAAAGACAGACGCTATTCATCCTGAAAGAAGGTTCGAGCTCTCCCTCACTACCTAAAAAAGTCTCTATTCACATATTAGAAGGAGATACTATTCCTCGATGACTGAACCCAAGTCCACCAGCTGACTTGATCGTCGGAGGTACCACAGGGGAACAAACCCCGTACTCTCGCGATTCTTGTGTGTGCAGGTGATCCGCCCACCCCGAGCTCTAAGAACCAGGCATAAAGTCGAAGAAGGAAAGCGACTCCCTCTCGACGATTCAACATCTCGACGATCCAATAACTCGACAATCCCCACCGACTGTTCACGAGCATCAATAGGCACGAGCATCGAGCGAGACATCTCATCGCCATATTGAACCCACGTTAAACAAAGGAGAAGCTGAATTAATCTTCTCCTCTTCTGTACTTGAAGAAGAACGATTGTAAAAAGATTATTACCAAGCGATAGAATCTCTTCTTACGACCAAGCAGTTGGAGAACCAGTCGTCTTATCTTTTTCAAGACCATACGCGCATTGTTGCTACAATATTGTTCCAGTAACATTTAGTGGCTCTGCGGCTGGTGACTACTACGGCGGATAGGTGTTTAATGTAGACATAATAACTTTCCGTCGGTTTCTTATATGGCCTTAACCTTTCCAACATTATGGAAATAGAAAAAGTTCACTTGTGATAGCAAAATACAATTATATGTCCCATCAAGCACAATAGCAAAAATTCAACGGCCAAATCTACAGAAATATGAATATATCGCATCAAGGCACATCCATATACAAAATCCAACACCACATTAATCGATCAATCTTATTTTGACGTGAAGTAAAAATTGACGGCTGATAGAAGAAAAAGCCAAACAAGGGCACGACCAGCTGAGCAGCAGTGAGAGATTTGGCCAAATAGTATAAATGGAGTATGTATGTTATTATTTAATAAATAGGTAATAATAACATGGCCAGATCATGAGCACATTAATGTTATTTTATTTTATTTGAGCACATTAATGTTGAACGGCAGAGTCACGGTGAAATGGATGGGGAAGGGAATGTCTACAGTGTCTTTCACGTCTATATACTACTGTTCATATTCATTTGGGATCTCTTCACACTGCACCCCCATTATCCCATATCTATTTGATTTCACTCTGGTCTCTCTCTCTCTCTCTCTCTCTCTCTCTCTTATTATGTGAGGTTTGCTAATTGATTTGTATTTTGCGTTATTTTTTGCTTTGACTAAATGGTAATTTTCATGGTTTAAATGTTGGGACCAACTTGTATGAGCTATATATCCTCTAAGTCGCATTTATCTCCGCTAGATAATGTCATTCCAGACCCTGCATGTATTTGGGCACCACATGTATCCTGGTGTACCCTGACCATCGTTGCTGTCATTTCCAGCTTTAAGAAAAAAAAAGTAAATCTCATTAAGATGTTAGAAACATATGTCAATTAGAATATGTCTTAATTATGTGCGTGCATATATAAGTATGTATGCATGTGTGTGTGTATACTATGCCTGTGCATGTTAAGTGTATCTGATTTTGGATCCTGGTGTACCCTGACCACGATTGTTGCCATTTCCGACTTTAAAAAAGTAAATATTATTAAGATATCGGAAACATTTGTTTATTATAATATGTCTTATGCGTGTGCATATATAAACATGTCTGTATGTGTGAGTACTATGCTTGTGTATTTTATGTGTACGCGATGCTTTGTGTCATACGCATATTTCTATGCATTTGTGTATGCGTATGTGACTGTACGTGTTATATATCTGTGCACTTTTATATTTCATGTGGATGTGTAGGTGCAAGTGCGTATCAAAGTGGCAGGTACGCGTGTATATGAATGTATGTGTGTATGTGTGCATGTGTTTGTGCAGTTTTATGCTTCGAGTTTTGTAACATACATCTATACTATGTGGTTGAATAATGCACCTAAGGACTATGTGTGTGTATTTATAGGTACGAGGGCTTGCATTACTTTTATACGTGCATCAAGTCTGTCGGTGAGCAAATTTATAGGTTTGCTTCTTCTTACCCATGCATCCTTCTACCAAACCGGCGAGATCAAGTTATCTGAGCTGGTGCAACGCCACCTTCTGTGCCCTACACATGCATATATATACTTAGTCATGTCGAGCTTCTCAAAATGCTGCAAACAAAATGCAACAAATTAATCAAGGAAACTGAAAACAGGGGGGATTACATCGATCATAGCAAAAAAAAAGACTGCTTTTAACGGAGTTGCTGCTTTACCTCATGCGCGCTTATATTGACTATTATTCGAGCATACAAGGTCTTGAGTCTTGTAAGAATGCCTCCCTAACTTATCATTTCAATATATATATATATATTAGAGCAGTTAGAACAGTCAAATTAGCATCACACCTCAAATAACATTAGGAGGGGAATATCTACAACAACTGACACTCAGGACGAGCTAATCCCGTCTTTTCTAATCGACCAGCCTCATAAGAGAACTTTTCACTTAGTCATTATATTCATCTGTCTCTCAAAACAGAATGAAGGATCATTAGGGGGAAAAAAGGTTCACCTTTCTCTTGAATTCTTTCAGTAATCCGTACAGTTTGAAATAAGCCCACAATCACTTGCATAGTCACAGAGTAACCAGTAATGGACATAAAAAATGAGATCAAGTAAAAACAAGTTAATTCACCGTCTTTGAATCAAATATATAGCGATCAAAATTTCACAACATATATATACGACCTGCTCTTGTTAAAACCTTGCTAAATGACTCGAATACTTGGATTCCGCATTCTTCTACAAATCCACAGCACCTCCCGTTCCAGACTTTTAACCATTGAACTGGTGCGGTTAAAACTGTCTCCGGTTAAAAACTCCAACTGATTGCAAAGAGAAACCACTCCCTTTGGTTTGAACTTTCACCTTCATCGTACGAAAAAACTGCTGCTTCCTGGGTGACCATGCCCACAAAATTTCTGGTTAGTATATTAGCAACGTGTCAAATCAGAAGGATAAATTTTCTCAAATTTATTCTAAATAAGCTGCAGCTTGAAACATAAAAAACATACAAAAATTCAACAAAAAGTGAGAATCATAAAAATTCTATTGCAAATAACTATGTACATATCAACAAATAGAAGACAGGTGCTTAACTCAATTCACCTTTGGCTCGAAGAGCCTGACCCATGATACATTGAGAAGGCTTCTTAAATGGAAGAAACACATTTCCAAGAGGAGAGGCGCAAAGAGAGAGTGCTTCTGGCTTCATCGCCTTAAGAAAAGCCTTCTTAAATTTTAAGTGTAGAGACAGCATGCAATGCCCAGGTGCAAAAGCGGCGAACCTCTGCATGCCTTGGTTGTTTCTGTGGCAACTGGCCGAGGAGTAATCGGATCAAATCCCACAATGCTGGCAGGTGTTTTTTTCAATAATTTAGATGATGATTTAGTTGACGCATCTTCTTCCTTGACGGTGGGAATCCATGACTTCATAACACAATCTACCACATCTAGTGCTTCAACTCTCCGGAACTCAGATTTTGTAACCCTACACTTTTCCAGAAGGAAACCAAATAACTCACAACCAATCCATGGATGCCTCCTAATGGCCTCTTTTACGAACCCCGTCTTTAGCCGACATTTCTTACCCTCAAAGTAGTCAACAAATGAATTATGGAACAATGGCACCACTCTCTCGAACTCGGATCTCTCAAAGTTTCTTGACTGAATTGACTTTTAGTAGCCAAAATGTGGAGGCCTGGGCTAGAGAAGAGACCTCTTTGTCTGGATATCTTGATGCTGACTTGAGGCTCTTCTCAAGCAGAGGTTCGAGGCTTGCAAGGGGGTATATCTTCACCTCTAGGGTAGTCTTTTGCCTTGAATATTTTCTTCTGCAAAATCCCTCTCATACGCAGTCCCAGTTGCTGTAGCTGGTTTTTCTGGGCAGAGTGATACTTGATAAAAGCTCGAACCAAGTAAGGTAGATCATCAAGACCTGAGATTTGCCTGTTTAACTAAAAAGCTTTAAGGTGTTTAATTTAACTAGCAAAACTATAATGAATAGACTCAGAAATGAGATCACAGTAGTGTATTTGTGGGAACATGGGACAACAAGGAAAGCAACGGGAAAGAAACAGAACAGTTGTATGTCAGAGGATAAGCCAGAAAGATGGTTGCCATTTTGCAATGTCTATATTACCATGTGAAGCATACTTAATCATTAAAAGGTCCACAGAATATGGGATGTTTGATAGCTCATTTTCTAGTAGATTACATTATTCTCTCTTCTACTGCAACAATATTTGTTGCAGATTCAACAAAGGTATTACAATCAAAATCCCAAGCTGAACTTTGTACTGCCTAGATCAAGATATTCATTTTAGGGTTGAACACAATACCTGGATGTTTCTGCAGATATATTTCTAACAGTGAGAGCACACGACTTTTGAAAGTCAACAGCTGAGAGAGAGAGCCATCTTTCCACGAAGATAATTGCTCCTTTAAGATATCCACAATAGCAGAATCTTTCATAAGCATCGCATTGTCATCCATATCACCCTCAGAATCATCAGGTGTTGAATGTCCACTTATATTTTGATCCACTTCAGCGTCATTACTTGCATCAGCTCCAAGGCAACCATTCCCCCAGAATCAACTTCTTCATTTTTGGTTTCTCCATCAGTTGCCTCTCCATGCATTTTCTCTAAGTCATCAGCATGGTCATCCCCATTGTGTGCCTTGACACCTTCAGCTCCACTTGTTTCATCCATATCTTCAATCCCAAGAAAATCATCATCCTCATTTTCATCATCATCACTGCCACGAGTGTGATAGCGCATTGGTTTCAGATCTTTCGTCACAACATGCAACATCCGAAGGACGCCGTCAATTGTTAAATCATCACAGAACAATCTGAAGGCCTGCAGTAGAAAAGAGAAGAGTAATAAAATATCATGTCCAGGTAGATAGCAGTCCACATTATGTTCTAAGTAACAGATTTCCAATTAAAAAGAATTGACGAGTTTGCACTGAATTTTGACATAAGAACACTGTGCTGATGTTATTGTTTCCAATGAGGAACAGCAGGTATTAGGTTCTGTTGGGGAAAGTATGTTAACAAGAATGCCCTTTCAAATTATAAAGAGTACGCTTTTCAAAGGGGGAAGGTGAAAATCTTATCACGAAATGGCCTTGAAATATCATAATATGATGCACCCTGTGCTCATGTAGGTACCCTAGTAAACAATAGCACATCATCAACTCTTTTCATAGCTGTAGCACATTATCCAGACGAACCTGTTCAATAGCAAAGCACAAGGAACCAGATGAACGAGGCAACAGTGAAAGAAAATTTTCTAGAAGAACATCCGTTAAATCTGGCATTTCATTATCATCAAGTTCATTTCCTTCTCCAGAAGAACCACCTTGAGCAGCAGCAGTAGCGAGAAAAGCCTTATCACAACATATCACAAGTTCAGATGCAGCCTCATAGAACTCTTCGGGACAGAGGAGAACTTGGAGTGCTAACTGGACAAGCACCAAACGCAAAGCATGCAACTTATTCGCTTCGAGACCGTAACCAACATTCCTTTCCTGTAATAAAGGAATTGAAATTTTGCGGAGCAAACTGTTAATGGTGAAACCAATCATCAAAGATAAAAAATGGTAAAGCAATTGAAATATGCTAAAGACTAGTGATAGATTTCTCTTCATCAGTGGCATCCTTTTGTTCCTTAACTTTCCTATACCCAGACAAATTTGAGGACATAAAGAATGCAAATATCATTAAATGATCACGAAGGATATTTATTAAGATACAAAAGGGAACACCTGATCATGAGTGATGATAATTTCAATAAATTGAGGCCTGTTCTCATTCTAAAATACTTCTTCTTTTAATTGTTTTGCATAATTTTGGACTCAAGCCAGAAAGGTAAATCTAAACGCTATATATGATAAATGAGAAGCCCTTGAAAGATAAGTTTGCTTCTTTTAGTTGTATGTTTTCATATATACCTATGCAATCTTCAGATGAAAAATAGGTTCAATCGAATTATAACTAAAGTGAAGTTCCCCAAATTTACCTCATTTAAATATGGTCAAAATTTGTAAGAAGAAGGCTACAGATTGTTAACTACCAAATATTACAAGAAACACGAACACGATTAAAAAAACAGATACAAAAAGGATTAATTCAATTCCTGGATTATTCCTTTTTCAAGCTTTTTAGATTTTAGTGTTTTGTTCTAGCTTCTTGACCTTCCTCTTGTTGTGTTGCAATAACTTGTTTACTCGTGATACATGACATTGTAAACTACCCTGATTTGTGAAATGACCCTGCCGTTTCTATATGATATTTTAGGCCCACCTAACAGGATATTGTTACAATCACGAGACAACGTAAATCAGTGAAACAGCGTATAAAACAACTAAACGAGTAAATGAGTGAAAATGAAAGGATGTCCTGCTGTATAGTGTCTCAAGCAAGTACCATCAAATATCCTTTCTCCAGTGTTGCCACAACACTGGTCTGCAAAGATCATCTAAGAATATAGAATGCCTCTTGAAGAAGCCGAGATTCAGCTTCTTGCAATTTCTTGAATGCCTCTTCATCCTTGTCACTGACCCCTGTAAAGTGTCACTGATGGAATATTGCACAAGGTCTTCAGGAAACATATAAAGTAAGATCCAAGGTCACTTCTCTCAAGACTGCTTGATATATTATGTGAGACTTCCCCTCTCCGTGCATCCTCTAGTAACAACTGAAGCTGCTGAACACACATCCTGCATAAAGACCTAGAAATGTCTGCTTTCGGCCACTTAAACTTCTCTTGCAACTCAAATGACATGAATTCAGTGCCCAGAGATGCAGAAAATAAACCCTGAATTGCTAGGAATTTCATAATTTCTGCCTGCACCTGAAATCTTTCTTCTAAAATTTTTATGATTTTAGCGTCTGCCCAAGACTTGGCAGTAGAATCTAGCTTTAAATTCTTCAAAACTCGAGGCATGGTTTCCACAATCCAATTCTTGAGTGTGTCCATACTTTCTAATCCATCCGGAGAGTCCTTGTCTTCGACTGAGCAAATTTCTGAATTTTCATCTGTTGTCTGACTCTGATCAGATGGTTCATCTGGAAGCATTCCATCTTCTACCCACAAAAAAAAAAACCATCAAGTTACGTACGAAGAGCAAGCAACCTTGACCAGTGACACATTTTGCAATCAAACCTTTTGACTGTCTGTCTTCGTAACACTATCAAATCTACTGCTGCTATGTTTTTGCAAGGTAACGATAACTGAAACACGCCGGTCACCATCATCACCGACCCAATTAACTAACTCCTTTATAAAACACAAAGCGGTTTCACGTAAATGGGAAACCTTGGTAGGTAGGATATCCATCAAGCACTGGACAAGCTTGTAAGAAAGGACATTTGGGACACAAGATGCTCACAAACGTGGGAAAATAAGGAGAAAATTCATCAATGCGAAATGCTTCCTTTCGTCAGACGATAAAAGAAGTGTTTCTTCAATCACAACCTCACAGAAACAGCGAAAATTCGTGGTCATTTCCTCATAGGAGCCACGCTTACTTACGGCTCTACTTGTACTTCTTTACAGAATGTGCACATGATGCTGCCTCTTCTTGAAATACCAAGGGAGATAAAAGAACATTTACCAGTAAAGGCCAAAGACTATGAACTCGGGGATGAGAAAATGTTGATTCCTGAAAGGGTCAAATATTTAATAGACACACAAGCAGCCGACTTTAAATATGTCACAGGCTTAAGCGAAAATAACAATTTTAGTTATCTGTATTTTATCACATGTCAGATATCAGCATGTGTATATGTGTGCTGTCGTTCATACCTACAGTCTTATATTAACGTGTGTGATCTTATATCTACCCACCAATGACAATCAATAAGTACGAGATTCCATCAAAGCCTCTTCTAGATGGTTAAAAGATGTGGCATTGTAATTTACAAGTTATTCCTCTGACCAACCACATTCAAAAGATAATGACCCCCCACCCGGATCCCCCCCCCCTGTTGGGTGTAAAATTCAGGTTTCGATGCGAGACTTGTATTATCTGTGTTTATTACAAATCAATGAAATCCGGTTTTACAACAGAGGAGAAGGGAAGGCCCTTCGTTTTTAACGTGGGTTTTTCGGTAGCAATAGGATGACTCCCTCGATGCTTGTGTCGAGTTTGCTTCCCTTGGACGATACGATCGACGTCGCGGTTGGAACTTCAGTACGCAGTAGAAGCTCCGAGGTGATTGGGTTCGAGTCTACCCGAGGCCAAACAAATGCTTGTGCTTGTAGGCCGAATGCTTGACTGTCGGAAGTCAACTACCCAAGCTTGATAAATGTCAAGGCCGGAAGCTTAGATAGGGCTACAATGCAATAGTTTGCAGAGTCAATGAGCCTCAGATCTGAGAGTTCAGATCGAGTCTACTTCAACAATCTAAGCTTACAGCCAAGAGTGTTCTACCAAGCAAGCCAGTGAAAGTCCCTATCAGAAGAGTCAATTCCAGCAAATTAGGTCCGATTTCAGCAGCCTCGGCCCGATTTTTAGCAGCCGCTTGAACGTTAATCCAAGGTGGCTTTAAATAGACAAGGGATGACATGGGCCATCCCTTGATTTGTGGGATTTGACCACTAGTAGGGGTTGAGGAGCACCAACCGCCCTATCTGTGGGATGTGACCACCTAGGGATAGGAAGTAACATACTTCTCTATAACTACGGGATGTGACCGCTATAGGGGGTTCTGTCAGTCGTCCTATATTTTGTAACCATCAGTGGCTATTTGTAGAGTATGAGAGTTCTGGCCAATCCCTTGATTTGTGGGACATGGTCATGCCTAGGTGAGGAGCGCTATGCTCTCCCTCTTGAAACGTGGGATATGACCGTTAATGTGACTGTTCCTATACCCCAAGTGGGCAATTAACAAGCATGCTGGCGAGGAGGTCAGGCAAGTCTGGTTCATACAGGCGAGCTTAACCCATACAGGCGAGCTTCAGGCTGTCAAGCGAGCTTAGCCTTCAGGCGAGCTCGAGCCTAGAGGTGAGCTTCAAGCCTTCAGGCGGGTCCGACTCATGCTGGCGAGTCGTCTTCGAGCGGGAGACTGACACCGCCCTTCGAGTCGACAAGAAGGGGTGTCGTCCGAGATCTTCTTGGCGAGTCGACTTCGGATGGGAGACTGACACCGCCCTTTGAGTCGATACGAAGGGGTGTCGTCCCGTGGTCTTGGCGAGTCGACTTCGAACGGGAGACTGACACTGCCCTTCGAGTCTGCACGAAGGGGTGTCGTCCCGTGGTCTTGGTGAGTCGACTTCGAACGGGAGACTGGCACCGCCCTTCGAGTCGACAAGGGGGTTTCGGCCACTTCGAGTCGACGAGGGGTTTCGGCCACTCGAATTTGGTGAGTCGACTAGGGGGTCTCGGCCACTCAGTCTTCGAAGTGCGGACTGGCACTGCCCTTCGAGTTGACGAGGTCTCCGCCACTTGGAGTCGACGAGGGGGTCTCGGCCCTTCGGTCTTGGCGAGTCGACTATGGGGTCTCGGTCACTCGGCTCTTGGCGAGTCAGACTATGGGGTTCCTCGGTCCATTGGTCTTGGAAGTGCGGAAGCAACTCAGCGAGTATCGGCGTCAGACTATCACCGCTCTTCGAGTCGTCTGAGATGTTGATTCGTGGCGCTCGACTCCGAGTCGACTAGCGGGAGCTCCGTCGTGTAGAGCCCATCTGGATCTTGGGCAGTTTTCATCCTACCCCCCCCCCCCAACACCCAAAAAAAACACCAGCGAAAGGCTTGATGGTCATGGAGTGTTCTCTGTCAAACATGATTAATGTTGATTTTTCCTTTTATTCCATGGTGAGGAAACTGAGAAGCATCCCCAGTGCAACTTCAAACCCCATCTGCAGACTCTTCCACACGCATGCATTATTCATTCCTTCGACTCTCCAAAAAAGAGAATCATCCATTTTATGTATTTATAAGTCAGAATTGTTCCTATCGTGTGAAACAAAGAGTTCCAGTGCTCTCACTAATTTAACTTATAGATTGTCTTTCTCCAATCTGAAAGTGTTTCTGTTTAACTAAGAATTGATTTACATTGCATGTCGTCACCTCCACAACATCTCTCTGGCTTTAACCACTATCTAGAAAATGGTGCCTTATGGGCTTCATGTTTCTATGATCTACCTACTTAAAAATCTTAAACTACATTCAAGAGTCATGTAGAAATAGGTTTTTTTGTTTGCGTGTCCTTGCATGCACGTCAAATTCAAAGTACCTATTTATCCGAATAGCAGAGTTTGAATCGTATTATAGTACAACTAACAATTTCATGCAACAGATGGCATGTGAAGTATTAACTGTATCTGTAGGAATAACAAGAACGACATCAGAGTTGCTTTGATGCAGGATCAGAGACATGGAGCACTCAAATGGTATAGAACAAGGGATCCCACCCACAAATACAAGGATGAGTCACTGAAACAGGTTAGAACACATGATATGGATATGGATACGATGAAAAATATGTATATCTACTACATATATGTGTGCATTTGTGCATGTAATATCATATGTTCTGTTATAATTAAAATGAAGAAAATGGGTATCACATGGCATCTCACTTTATTAAATGAGCTAACAATAGATAGTGGAGTTGTCAGGCTCATCATGTTAGTCACATTGACGAAGGTGGGCCTCACAACTCTATTTCTTGGCAGCACAATTTACTAAACGATGGTGAGCTCATATCCAGTATCGTCGAATTAAAAATCAATTATCAAATTATTTATGCAAACTTGAAAGCTCCTAAGCATATGTAGACATTTCTATTAAAAAACAGGGAGAGAAATGGAGTAAATATAACACATCCTGTAATCAGAAAAATAGATAGCTGTATTCAGTATACAATAGAGATTAGAATCACCTTTATAAAAGAATGCCTATTTTTACTCTACCTATTCTTCATTCAAAAACTATTTCTATAAGATTCTATATTTCAGAAAATCTAAAAGTAAATTACTTTAAGAAATTTTCTTATACATAAATAGTTCTGAAGAGATTTGTTTGCCTCACGAAGAACATCCTTAGAAAATTTGTCAAAGCAGTAGATTTTAAAACATTCGATAATTCTTGACAGGATCAGTAAGCACAAAAATAAATAAAAAACCCAATTTAACACGTCTGCAATCTCTCATCATTAATATGACTCGACAGAGTCCATTCGCCGCAAACTACATAACTATAATACACATTTGAAATTTACCTTGAAGCAAGGGACAAGTGTTGACAGATGATCTCGAGTAAAGAAGATGTCAGGAATGAATGGGCATGGCAAGAGATTGCCAAACATTTCAGTCTCCAAAGGAACTCTCTTACGCAACTTCAATGCCACAAATAAAGCATCTGGATCTCCATTGTTGACGTCTTTATTGAAACACTCCCTTATGCCAGGAACTTCAAGAACATGGTTTGCAACAGCTTCCAAGGGCAGCTGTAAGGCTAGAAGAATGAGGACCATATCAAACTGAATCATCTAGTTAAGGTATACACGGAGATAAAAATCCAAATCAATCAAGATTAGATAAAAATATGTAAATATGCCAGCAACTGCTCAAGTTTCTGGGTAATTGTTAGATCATGCACCAGTAAACATGCTGATAAGAAAAGTGCCCACCACGACTGATATTCAATTAAGAACTGTCTAAATACAACCATAAAACAAAACAGCTCAAGGATCAAATGAATGACTCCTTCAGAAAAATTTGGCAGCAGTTCAAGCCATTTTTGTCCCAGTATATACTCCCACCTGTTTTGTGAATTAAGTAAAACTTTCTTATATTGGTTTCCATCACTAGCCACAAACAAACATCAAAGCTGCATAATATGTGGCAGCATCACTTTTTACAAAACAAACAAGCTTGACAGCTACACCTACTATAACCCATGTTAGAAGACAAGCTGAAAGTAAATTTTTATTTAGACGTTAGTCACATCTGAATCTCACATTAACCAAGAAGGGTCTAGAAAAATGTTATTGTGGGCAAAGACAAGGTAAACTTCTTTGATTTAGTTCATCAAGTTCCCATTAATTGTGGATCAGCACAAACTTGTATGTCCTAGGTGTTATGACTATTACGGTGATATGTTAATATTCAGGATTCAAGGAAGTGAAGGAACTATACAGTCTGCTAACTGTAAAATATATAATGACAAGAAACACAGAATTTAAAGGACATTGTTATTTGTTTTCCTCAAATGACAGATGAGAGAAGCTTACTGAAGGACATTTCTTTTCTCACATATGTGAAGAACCCTCATACAACTTCATTATGGATGGCAAACATTATATGCTGACACATCCAAACACATATTTAACAAGAGAACCGAGTAACTGCCATGTCAAGTTGATCCCTGCTGCAATATAATGTCCATGACATGTGTGCTTGTAACTACATTTGACAATGGAACAAGCCAGCTTTTTCCTTAGGGCCACAAAATATAAAGTATGCAAAACTGACAACAAGGATTTAAACAAAGTAAAATATGGCAGCTTCCATCAAACTCCCAGTTAAATTTCACAATCAATGTGGTGACTTACTAATGCTAAAACCAATATTATCTAGCCAGTCGAACATACATCATTTTCTCACTAAATGATCATCAAAGACAAGCATTGCCTCCTATTGAACAGTAGTTAGATGGGTAATAATTTATTGTTAACTACATGACCTTCAAGGTACCATCCTAGGAAATATTATCAAGTTATGCCTACACAAACTATACAACCTAAAGTGAACATGCTGAGTGGTAATCATAGGTAGTTATGCTTTAGGATGCAGGAAAAGTAGACACCGTGCTGAAAATAGAGGGAGGCAGGGGAGGAATAGCATCAAGCACCAAGAAATTTAATTCGCAGATGTGCACTAAAACGAGTTTCATTTCCCCCTGACATTGCAGAGTGCATGAACTAAACAACCTAGTGAAGAATAATGGAAAATTATACTAGACCGACAAAATTTTGATACACATGTATGGTTCAAGGGAAAAAAAATCAAATCAAATATACCTTCTCAACCATATCCACAATGATAGACATAACTGGTTCCCGCAAGTAGCATTTTTTGCCTGCAAGAGATATGATGTTGCTAACAAAATCTTTGACAGAAGGTGTACCACTGTCTTCAAAAAATTCAGCAGCCAACCATCCTGATCTAGCAAGAGCACCATAAGCACAGAGGCGACCCAAAAGACAATCTTTAGCTTCCTACAGTGCAATTGAGGAGGGAATAGAGTTTCATTTAAAATTGAATACCGTGAAATTATTTGCTTCATTGAACCAAATGCATGTATTTTACCTGACCTTTAATTGATCCTGAAACTTCTAACAAATTGATGATTAGTTTCATCGACAGTACCACTTTGATGGAGGGAATTTTCGCAACAACAACTGATAGGCGAACCCTTGCCTAGCACACTGTATAAAAACAATTGGGAAGTAGCAGAATGGTCATTTTCTCATTGGCCTTCAACAACTTCTTTAAAGCAAGATCTGCGATTTAAATCTTCATGCACGGTTTGCCATGGATAAAGCTGCAGACTAAAAAGGAGAAGCTACGATCAATGGCAACAGAAACTTAGTTTCAAGCCTAATCTCGAGGTAGCTATATAGGAAATGGAGGATGCCAAATTCTTATGGAAAAAAGAAAAAGTAATCAAAGCTCTCGAAGTAGCTATATATATAGTTTTAAGGATGCAGCAAGAATCACCATACTGCGTCACAGCACAACTTCTATCGGGTTCTAACTCCAAATGTAACAAACTAAATATAAATATTATTGAATTCCAAATGTAGGTAGGTGTCCAGCTTCATAAAGTTTAATTTTTTTTTTTTTTTTAAAGCGTCATAATTCCCATATTAGATGCTTACGCCAAACCACAAACTAGTGGAATTTAACACGAGCACTACAAAGCCTAAAGAGAGTATTACCGCCACCTAGATGAGGAAACTCCACGAATGAGCCCATCGTCGTATGCTCCCTGAACCTCGATCAACTCGACGGCCAAAGTCTCGGCTGCCGCCTTTCGAACCGAGGTACGTATCCAGCTACCTGGGGTAGAACACGGATATGGATTGAGGGGGGGTTGTTTCCCTCGGTTTGTGTTTTTCTAGGGTTTCCCATAAAAGGAAGGGGGAAGGACGGCGGCCAAGGGTTAGTTTAGATTCGTGTTCATAATTTTACCTCTGAGGCTCCGGACGCAGGGAAAATCCTAGTCTGGAGATTTTTGGAGCGACGATTTACTTACTCAGGCCTCTCGTTCGATCGTTTTGGTAGCCCATCATATACCCTTTAACATTTTTCAATAATGTTCGCACTTTCATACATACCGTCGTCCCCGAAAATTCTAACTTCGACGCTGACATGTTAATTTTAGAATATTTAACCATAAATATTTATTAAATTTATCTAAATTCTATTTTAAAATAGAGTTAGGATAGGTTTAAACTGTAATTACGTTAGTTTTTATTGTTAATTTAGCTAAAAATTAAGGGTTGGAAAGTTCATTTTAAAAACTTGTAGGTCTATATAAGTGTGTTATGAAGAAACAAGTGAGAGCATGTAAGTGCAAAACACGGAAAACTATAGGGTATTGAAGTGCAATGAAGCAATTAATTTATTGTTTTGTGTTTCTTATTGGATCGTGCAAGCATGCACGCTTAGTTTCGCAGTACCATAGTCACGCATTACTGCACAAGTTCCATGGAATATTTGAGCATTTCTGGAATTCCCTTTTTTTTCTGGAATATTTCAGCCAAGTAATCCCCGAAGCCCCCGCAACTAGTCTTTACTTTCTTGGTTTCTCCTGCGATGCCTTTCGCTAGACGGTCGATCGCTCTCAGATTTTGGAAATACAGGCATGGTTGACAGCATCACATTCACAACACAGAGTTCACAAGGAAGACTGCAGATAAATAAACGCTATAAGACCCACAATGCTAGACACAAGGACTACATTATTCATTATCATTAAGGATGTTCCACTTAACTTTCAGACATTATTCATTATCATTAAGGATATCCCACTTACCTTTCAGGTTAAAATCCCAAACCTGAACCAAAATGGTGAGCTCAAACTCAGTCAACCAACTTGTCCGAACAAATCGACCAGCCACTGCTCTGATTTGTTCATCATTTACACTACAGGAATTCTTGATCATGAAGAAAAAAAAATCAACAATAACCTCCCAACCTAAAAGATTATTCTGCTGTTTCAGCAGACGGGCAACCAGTTACATCCAACGTCAGATTTTGGGGTAGCAAGCTAGTGACTCGAGGTCACAACCTCGATAAAGCCAACATTGAAGGCCACAAGCTTCGCCCTCGAGTATCAACCATGATACAGAATTCAAGAAACCGCAAAGGGCAGTGAGGCATTATGACATTCTCCCTGCCCCAATGCAACCTCTCTTTCTCCCTCAATCGTTTTGGCGGAACAATCAGTAGCACTGGTTGAAACAGGAAAAGAAACCCCCTGATTTATTTTCCTTTGGTGTATCACCCAAATCATCTCGAACAGCCATTAGTGAACTCGTGCCAGGAGACTCAGGTGGCAACACCACATTCTCAGAACTGAAAACACGAGCAGGAGCCAGAGGTTCAGGCGGTGAGAGAGTAGACAAATAGTGAAGCAGCATTTGCACTATTTGGGTAAAGTTTGGCCGCAAATTTGGATCTTCTCTCCAGCAAGATGTCAAAAGTGAAGCTAACTCCTCAGGAAGACCATCAGCACTAGGCCTCACATTCTGTATCATAGCATAAGTAAAAGAAAAAGGCTGAGCTCCCATAATACTATTCAATAAAGAAAGAGAAGTAGCGGTTTATTACTTTGAAAGCAGCTGCATACGCAGCTTGAAGGTTTGACATGCCTTCAAATGGAAGTTTGTTATGTAACAGCTCCCATAACACTATTGCGAAGCTGTAAACATCCACCTTGTGGTTGTAATGTTTCTTTTCCCCGTGCCTCAAAGTCACAGTACTGTACAACTGCGCACATAATTTTGCTTTAGAAATTTATTTAGTATAAACAAATTCTATCAACAAGTGTTAAATCAAAGTTCTTTGGCTACCTCAGGGGCCATCCATCTGTAGGTTCCTGTTTCAGCAGTCATCATCTCTGTCAAAGTTTCCTCCCTGGCCAAACCAAGGTCTACAAGTTTTACGGTTTTCTGATCTGCAGTCAGTAGCATGTTTTCTGGGGACATGGCTAGAGTTAGCGAAACAAAGCATGAAAGGCAAATTTTTAAGGAATTCATGCATAGAATTGCATGTATATTAAAAAGACAACATGACAAAAGATCAGTATAAATATCGAGGAAAAGGAGAAAGTAAAATCTATAGTACATCAGTCAAACTCTTAAAATATGTTATGAACATCCTTGTTCTTGGGGGAGGAAACTCCCAAAATATGTTGGATGAGTGGAACTTGAAGGATCATGATAATACTTATTAGTAGGGAAACTAACTAATCAATTATACAGTCCGGGGCACATTTCGTCGGACATTCTCACGAAGAGTGCGGTAAAAAGGGGGGGGATTGGAATTCACTAATTTTGATATCATTGAATGACCAGCAATCTAGCAATAATCATGCTAAGAAGTTTTCATACTTATTTTCTTAATATGTCTTAAGTTCAGATGAGTGGAACTTGAAGGATCATGATAATACTTATTAGTAGGGAAACTAACTAATCAATTATACAGTCTGGGGCACATTTCGTCGGACATTCTCATGAAGAGTGCGGTAAAAAGAGTCTGAACTTCAGTCATTTGCATCAAGATAAGTACAGTTTAAAGAGAACATAAATTTAAGAAAACTGATGAGAAGCACACATGAAGAAATTCATTTAAGTGTAACTGGTATCCAAAGCACTAAATTGAACACTACAAAAGAAGTAGCTAAGTCATATAATAGGAGAAACAATCTAAGGATCTCCTAGATATGAAAGAAATGTAGGAGACAGCAAGGAATTGCAAAACAGAACATAGGTTACTGCATTCATCTTTACAGAACATATTACATCATGAAAGCTGTAAACTGGAACGCGCACATAATCCCTATTCAGAATGAGCGATCAGAAGTGGTAAACAGT